GATTTTAATGCTGTAATTTGCATGCTTTACTCTATATGAGTTCTGTGCAAATACATTTTAAGTAATCTTAGTACCATCAATTCATAAAATTTGAACTCTTGGCAATAAATTATCTAGATAGAAACATACAGGATATCTTAATCTCATCAATGGCTTTACCTACCTCTTTTCCATAATTTTATAATAAATAGTTGTTCTAAATTCATAATTAAAAAAAAATAAAAATTGAATCCGCCTTGATCAACATACACCAAATTTGTGGTGAGTGATTGAGTGCTTGGAAACATTTTTTCTTAAAAAAAATCATCAGTTCTTAAAAATAGAAAAATAACTTTACTAATGAAAATAGGAAAAACAAGGTAGATAAATAACATTTCAGGTTTATTGTTTCCTTTCCACGTACCCAATCCCTCCAACCCCCACCTTACGAATCCTCACTTTCTATTTCATCCCATTTTCGTAGTGTTTTGCAAGATCATATTATAAATGTTCTTGAGATAGTATTTTCTTGCTTACTTACCAAACACTAGAAAATAAATAAGAAATACATATATTTTTTCAAAAAACATTATCTGGCGAATTTACCTGGGAAATTTTATCGTACTAAACAAACATACTTGGTTAAATTTACCTGGGAAATTTTCGCATATAGCCACTCAAAAATAACTTAATTATGCTTCATAGCTATAGTTTGCTAATTATGATTCGTAGCTACATGATGTCGAATTGTATATGTATATCTGTCAAATAATTGTATATATGTAACTAGTATACATATGTATTTGTATATCTGGCGAGCGAGATTGGGAGAGGGAGGAGAGATGCGAGCAAGATTGGGAGAGGGAGGAGAGAGGCGAGCGAGAGAGGGAAGAGAGTGAAGAGAGGCGAACTGTATATGTATATCTGTCAAATAATTGTATATATATAACTGATATACATATGTATTTGTATATCTGGCGAGTGAGATTGGGAGAGGGAGGAGAAAGACGAGCGAGATTGGGAGAGAGAGGAGAGAGGCGAGCGAGAGAGGACAGAGAGTGGAGAGAAGCTAATTGTATTTGTATATCTGTTATATAATTATGTGTGTGTATATATATGTGTATGTATAATTTGTATTTGTATATGTATAAAAGAGGACATACGATGTAATTACAACTAAAATTAAGTTGCAAGCCGTAATTAATTCAAACTATAGCTATATTAACTAATTAACTAGTATATATTTGTTTATCCGCGTAATTTCCCAATTTACTTACTTTGACCATAAGCTAGAAAGGTTTCGTCAGAAAAGATGTATGTCTCCACAAAGTCATTTGTTACCTCTGTTCTTTTTTACTTTGTCATACTCCTTTTGTGATTAATTTGACTAATTTTTGAAGCTTAATTAAATTAAAATGATTCAACATTTTTATATTTAAAATATAGATATTAAAAAACTATATTTAAAATACTATAAGTTATAAAAAAAAATCTCATATTAATATAATGAAAAAATATATCTTAAAATATTAATCGAATTTCATACGATTTGATGTTTGAAAAGTAAAATGTGACCATCGAGAAAAAAAAAGGGAGTAGTTGTCAATGTTTCATTTCTATTTTTATCAAAGTGCATTTAAGTCTTCTTTATGACATAAAATATAGATGCTACTACCTAGCTACCTTGTAACTATCGTGTCAAACATCTAAGAATAAATAAATATCAAACCAAGAAAGTGAGAGTCAAAGTCAAAAGGTAAAGGCTAATAAAAAAGGTGTTTTAAGTTAATTTATTTCGCGGCATGATTTAACAATCAATGAAATTAGATGAATTACAAAAGACTACGTAAAATTATTCGCACCTCACGCGGAAATTTAATATCATAACATTTATAAAATAATACTTAAAATATATCAGTCATTAAAACTAAAATATTTTATTATACATAAAAAATTACATAGTAACGAACATTAACAATATAAAGGAAAATAATAATTGTAACATCTTATCATTTATCCTTCAATCAATCATTTTTAATTTGATTATTTTATAATTTATCATTTTTCTTTCTAGAAGTGCAACTGTTTGATATTTTTGGGGAATGAATTATAAAAGATTGGTTCAAATTATTGTAGAAAAAAAAAATGAAATATTTCCTTTGTCTCAATATATATATAGTGTTTTACTTTTAAGAGTCAAACTACATAATTAAATTTGATTAACAATTTAAGATGTAATTTTCACTATATTGATATGAGAAAAAATGAAACTTATTTAAATATTAAGTTAATTTAATTATGATAATAAATTAAATTGATTTTTTTTAAAACAATTTTTTACAACTATTTTGGAACAAAAAGCAAAATTTAACAACTATTTTGAAACAAAAAGCAAAATTTAACAACTATTTTGGAAAAAAGAAGTACTAACAATTGATTAATTATCTAATTACACATGTCCAATGACTCAAAATGGTCAATATGTCTTAGCAGCAAACTGTTCAGCCATTACTAAATTAATCATTAGTTTACCATTTAAATTCTTCATACATAAATGTCGAGTAATTATTTCTACAAATATTTTGATTAAATTGGTTAGAAAAGAAAAAATTATAATATTTTCACATTGAAAAATTAAGAAGTTTCTTAATATTTCAGCGAGAATATGTTTTCCACCATATCTTTTTTCAGTGAGCTATAATTCGATGACAAATGAATAAAAAACTATATTTTATAACCGACAAAGGGTCAAATATACCCTTGTACTATTAGAAATAGTTTAAATATACTCTTCGTTATATTTTTGAGTCAAATATACTCCTTCCGTTATACTTTCCGTCCAAATATATGCCTCCCATTATATTTTGAAACAAATGTGTTCTTACTTTTAATGGAGAAGTAATGTTATGAAATCAGTTGATACATCTGTTAATTTGGATAATAAAGAGGATGCGGCGAGTGATGATTTCTTCATTAGCAAACCGCGTCGGAGTACTAGAATTGTAATTCCACCTAAAAGGTTGGACAGTTACCTTTGGGCTGGAAGAAAGTCACGTGAGCAGGGCAAGAGTTAGTTATGGAATTAGTATAAAAGTGTGAGAACGTGGGTAGGAAAGGATAAGGAAGTTATTTGTGATTCTGAATAATCCCATCTCCTTCTTCTGTCTTCTGAACCCCTTCTAGACTTCTAGTTTTAGATTTCAAGTTTATTTCCCTAAGTTGTTGTTTCCTGTAATTTCCTTTGTTGTGTATTATAGTTATTCAGCAAAACATATTATAGCCGCATCCTCTTTATTATCCAAATTAACAGATGTATCAATTGATTTCATAACATTACTCCCCTCCTGAAAATCGACCTTGTCCTCAAGGTTGAAGTCATATATCTCGGTCTGGTCAGGACAATCTTGGAGCTGCAATGGTGTTACTTGTTGAATAGGCTCGCCCAAGCAACGCTTAAGAACTGAAACGTGAAATACAGGATGTATTTTGGCCTCAACAGGCAACTCCAATTTATATGCCACATCTCCAATGCGCTTGATGACCTTGAAAGGACCAAAGTATTGTCGTCCAAGCTTGTGACCCCTTTCCAGCCGCACAGAAAGTTGTCGATATGGTTTCAACTTCACAAAAACCCAGTCGCCCACTGCAAACACTAGTTCAGTACGATGTTTATCTGCAAACTTCTTCATCCTTGTTCGAGCTTTGATCAAATTCGCTTTCAACAACTCCAGAACCGCATCACGATGAATTAAGTAATCCGCCACCAATTCACTAGCAGTGCTCCCCAATATATATCGAGTTACAGTGGGAGGTTCTCACCCATACAGTGCTTGAAATGGTGTCATTCCCGCAGATGTTTGGTACGAAGTATTGTACCAGAACTTAGCCCAAGGTAGCATTGTGACCCACTTGCTTGGATCATCAGCAATATAGCAACGAAGATATTGTTCAAGACATTTATTTAGGGCCTCAAACTGTCCGTCAGTTTGTGGATGATATGCAGTACTCGTAGCTAATGTTGAACCCTGCAAACGATTGATTTCCTGCCAAAAAGAATGGAGGAATCGTGGATCACGATCAGTGACAATAGTGCGAGGAGGGCCGTGAAGGCGAATTACACCCACTATGAATGCTTCTGCTACAAGTTGAGTAGAGAAAGTGGAAGGTAATGGAATGAAGTGACCATATTTGGTCAAACGATCTACAACTGTAAGGATTGTAGTCTTCCCTTTGGAACTTGGAAGGCAAGTGATAAAATCCATTGCAATATCTTCAAAGACTTGATCCGGTATAGGGAGAGGCTGCAATAACCCGACTGGATGCAAGTTAGTGTCTTTCATCTGTTGACATATCTGGCAGGTCATAACAAATGATTTCACATCCTTGCGCATTTGGTTCCAATAAAAATTTGAGGCCAGTCTATGATATGTCTGTGCTACACCAGCATGCCCTCCGATGTTTGTGGCATGGAACTCAAACAGTAACTTATGTCGGAGTTGTGCATCTGATGGAATCACCAACCTACCTTTGAAAAATAACAATCCATCATTGAATTGGAAATCCCCGTGATTCTCGACATCTGTTTGTAAAGCTTGCTGAATAGCCAATAATTCTATATGAGATTGATTCAATGATTTAAACTCTTGTTCGAGATTAAAGGTCCTGGCAGAAATGGCCATAAGAGATGCATCTGAATTGCGAGAGAGGGCATCAGCAGCTGAATTTTGTTTACCTGGCAGAAATGGCCATAAGAGATGCATCTGAATTGCGAGAGAGGGCATCAGTAGCTGAATTTTGTTTCCCAGGTCTGTATATGATACGAAAATCATAACCTACTAGTTTAGTAAGCCATTTTTGTTGCTCAGGAGTTTGGATGGTTTGATTAGTGAGGTTCTTCAAGGACTGCTGATCTGTTAGTATCGTAAATCTCCTGCCAAGAAGGTATTGCCTCCATTTACCCACAGCTTGTGTAATAGCAAACATCTCACGATGATATGTTGAAGCCTGTTGCATCCTTGTACTCAATTTCTGACTAAAATATGCAATGGGGTGACCTTTTTGAGACAGAATAGCACCAATTCCTTTCCCTGATTGAAATCTAGCAAGGCCAATACAGGGGTGGAACCCAATTTAGCCTTTAAAGTTTCAAAAGCTATTTGAGCTTCTGGTGTCCATCTGAAAGTCTCTTTCTTTAGCAAATCAGTGAGTGAACTTGCTATGGAAGCATAATGGTGGATAAACCGTCGGTAGTAACCTGCAAGGCCGAGAAAACTGCGCACTTCTTTCACTGTACGAGGTGGTGTCCATCGCTGGATGGATTCCACTTTTCCAGGGTCAACAGATAGGCCTTGAGACGAGATAATATGTCCCAGGTAATCAACCGATTCTTGTCCAGATAAGCATTTAGACTGTTTAGCCACCAACTGATGTTGACGCAATAATTGAAGAACCGAGACTAAATGTTCCAAGTGATCAGTCCAAGTAGGACTATATATCAAAATATCATCAAAGAAAACCAGGACATATCGATGCAAGTAAGGTCTGAATATCTCGTTCATAGTTGCCTGAAATGTAGAGGGTGCATTAGTAAGGCCAAATGGCATGACGAGAAATTCATAATGTCCATCATGAGTGCGGAATGTAGTTTTAGGAACATCCTCTGGACGAACCCTAATTTGATGATAACCTGACAACAAATCCAACTTGGAGAAATAACGTGCACCATTCAATTCATCAAAAAGCTCGTCAATGGTAGGAATTGGAAATCTATCACGAATTGTGATTGCATTTAATGCCCGATAGTCGACACAAAATCGCCAGGTGCCATCTTTTTTTCGAACCAGCAATACGGGTGAAGAAAATGGACTATTACTAGCTCTGATTATCCCTTCTTTAAGCATTTCAGCCACTAATTGCTCCATAACATGCTTTTGAAAATAAGGGTATCGATACGGCTTCACATTAACTGGTCCTCCGCCTAGAACTAAATGAATTTTGTGATCCTGACTTCGTGGAGGAGGCAAACCCAAAGGTTTCTGAAATACATCTTCATATGTTTGAGCATCACTTCTAACTCAGACGGAGTAGTACATGAAGATTCCAAATCAGATACCAATTCTAGATGGAAGTAGGAGGAAATTGCATTAGTAACAACCATTCTTCTCAAGCTATGTAATTGCACTGGTTGCACATCAGTAGGTGCATCCCCTTTCCACGAGACCTTGACACCATTTAGAGTGAATTCAAATATCCTCTTTGTATAATCAGTTAGGACAGGTCCCAAAGTTGCGAGCCATGAAACTCCGAGTACTATATCAGCACCATGAAGGGCTAAAATATATAGATCTTCCACTATATTGCTGCCTTGTATGGTTATTGGAATTTTTCTAGCCACGCCCTCACATCGTAGTCGTTGTCCACTTCCTACCACCACTGAAAAACTTGGTGTTGGCTCAATTTTCAACTGAAGAAAGTTAACCATCCTCGCTTGAATAAAATTATGAGTACTAGCGTTGTCCACAAGCACTTGTACCGGAGACCCATTAACATGACCAGTAAACCGGAGAGTAGTGGAAGAATTTCCTCCAGATAGAGCATGATATGAAATAGCAGAGTGTTCTTGAACCTCCAAGCATTGTAATTCCTCGGCTAAGGCATCATCCGATACAACTTGATCTGATAAAGTTACTTTCGCCTCTGAGTCTTCAGATAACACTAGAAGTTGGGGAAGAGACTTACACTTGTGACCTGGAGAGTATTTTTCATCACAAGAATAGCAGAGACCACGTTCGCGATGACTTTGTAACTCTGCAGGAGTAAGGCGTTTCATGGGGGAACGATTTGATGCAGTTTGGGTAATTGGAACTATTTGGTTCATAGTTGACTGCCTTGAGACTGCATACTGATAAGTGGGGTTGGAACTATTTGGTTCATAGTTGATTGCCTTGAGACTGCATACTGATGAGTGGGGGTTGGCAGAAGTGGTGGAATTTTACTGAAAGCAGGTTTAAAATAACCACGCTCAAGTTGAATCTTTTGCTCGTATAAATGGGCTAAACGTATAGCTTCGTTTAATTTCGTGGGTTCACGAATCAAAACAACAGTTTTAATATCAGGCCTCAGTCCAGAAGTAAAAAAATGGGTTAATACCTGATCTGGAAAATGCATCGTCTCATTAGACACTGCTTCAAAACGACTCTGGTATTCAGCAACCGTAGTGGTCTGCCGAAGTTTAGCAAGTCGACCTTCTGGTGCCTCCAGATCTCGTTTTCGAAATCTGACCAACAGTTTCTCAGCAAAATGCTCCCAATTAACTAAATGTTTGTTGCGAAAAAGCTATCGGTACCATTCCAAGGCATCGCCTTCCAAGTAGAACGAGGCTAGTGTTAACTTATGATCCTCATTGATTCCATAAAATTCAAAGTAACGCTCTGCTTGGAAAACCCATGATTCAGGATTCACTCCATGGAATCGCCCTAATTCAACTGAAGTCGGTTTGTGGCGTAAAATAAGAGGTGTTGATGCTTGACCGCCATAAACTTCAGTAGTTTGACGTGGTCGAGGTGTTGCCGCTACAGAAGTACCATTCTGGGAACCTAGTGCCATGACGTGACCTACCACTTCTTTCAACAAAGATCGCATCTCAGAGATTTCACTCGAGAATGACTCTTTCACCCCCTGTATGGAGTCTGCGAGGGACTTGAGTTTTGGGTCCTCTGCCATTAGAGAACTCTCAATGAAAGCACCAATGAAACAAACCCGATTTCACAATACAAATACTGATATATATATTATATATATAGATATGTTTTGCTGAATAACTATAATACACAACAAAGGAAATTACAGGAAACAACAACTTAGGGAAATAAACTTGAAATCTAAAACTAGAAGTCTAGAAGGGTTTCAGAAGACAGAAGAAGGAAATGAGATTATTCCAAATCACAAATAGCTTCCTTATCCTTTCCTACCCACGTTCTCACACTTTTATACTAATTCCATAACTAACTCTTGCCCTGCTCACGTGACTTTCTTCCAGCCCAAAGGTAACTGTCCAACCTTTTAGGTGGAATTACAATTCTAGTACTCCGACGCGGTTTGCTAATGCAGAAATCATCACTCGCCGCATCCTCTTTATTATCCAAATTAACAGATGTATCAACTGATTTCATAACAAGCGACACATGTCAAGTTCGGAATCAAATGACTCAACTCAATTTTAATTTTTTTTTTTTTTTAAATCTACCCGTTTAATCCAAAACAATTGTACAACAAAAAAAGGTAGATAACAAAATATGGGTAAATCAAATCAACTTAGAGAAGTAATTTTTGAAAAACATTATAACCAATGAAATCTAAAGATCAATAATTCAGTTAATCATGCTATGAAAACACATAAATTAGAATCAATAAAAACCTTACGATTAATTAGAACACAAAATTTCCTCCCGCACATTTTATACTTCATAGTTCGCATGACCTGTGTGGTAGTGTAGATCATTTGATCCGAGTTAAACATGCGAATTTCTAAGAGAATTAAGTATTTAAAATTGGGGTGTTCAGAGTTTGATGTGTTATTCCATTAAAATTAAGGGCAAATTTGTTCCAAACTATAATAGAAGGATATTTGGATCGAAAGTATAACAGAAAGGGTATATTTGATCCAAAAGTATAACAAAGGGTATATTTAAACTATTTCGAATAGTACAATGGTATATTTGACTCTTAGCCATTTTATAACATAAATTTTGCATTAATTTGTGATGAATATAGCCTTTATTTCTTATAGTGAACGTTAGATTTCTTTCCACTTCTATTAGTTTTACTAAAGCGAAATGTTATTATAAAAAAATATATCATATAATATAATATGAAATTGACTCCTAAACCGTTAAGGATTGATATTATAGATATGTCTGACTACTTAGAGGTTAGCTTCCAAATAAATATTGACGTACCAAATATATTTTGTCATAAATCCATGTAACATTGATTTGTACTCATTCACAAATTGACTTTTGTCTCAAATATTATGGTTAAAATATTTACGATGGCTATTGACATCAAAGATACACTTGGAAAATTAAAGAGCAGCACAAAGTAGAGAAAAGGGCAATGATCCATGTTATGTGAATCAACTTTTTTTTTTCATATAATAATTTATGGAAAACATTAACATTTTTAGTTATTGATAAATTTTAATTTTAAACATTATAATTTGAACTAAATATATTTAATTATTAATTGATTATAAATTTTTTTATCAAACACAGTTAGTATTCAACTAATAATGAGAATATTTTTAATGTAAAGCTTCACAACTTTAACAAATTATTAAATATTATATTATTTAATTATCAATGTGTTATGTACTCATGTTAAGTGTATATTGGTACTTTATATTTGAAGTAATATGATTTTAAATATAGCCTAAATATCAATTGCTTTGTGATTTAAATGCAATGTAAAGGACGGTCTGATTCGGTTTTTTTTTTTTAATGATTAAAAAAGGAATAATTCATCAACTTTTGATATATCAAACGTAAGCGTAGAGCCACTCGATGATCAATATACTATAGAACCAAAAATATCAGCATTACGCCTAACAAGGCAATAGCCTTCCTCTTTTGGTCCCCCAATGTACCATTTTATTTTATTTTATTTTATTGGGTGTGCAAATTAATTTCACATTGAACGTCAAAATATATATATAAAGATGTAGGAATTATTAGAGGTATGAGGTCTTTTTAGAAAATGATGTGAACTTGATTTGAAGTAGATAATATTACATTATGTAAGAGTATTTTAAAGCTATTTTAGCCCAATTATTTTATCCTTATTTTTTGTTTCCCATTATTTTGTTACTCCTTTTCATCCTTATTTTATGATGCTTTTTCTGTTTTGCATGAACATAATATATATATTTTTTAAAAATTTATTTAAGTTTAAAGAGTAAAATATGTTTTTTTTATTAAATTAATCTATCTTAATACACGTTCTCTACACCCTCTTATTTAAGGTCATGTCCTATCTAATCACACCTACCTCTACCTCTCCTCGTACCTTTTATAATCAACCTCACGCACCATCTCATTAAGGTGTTTGCGCATCTTCCGTACGAAATCATCATTTTAATAATGAACTAGTTAGATAATATATTATCCTAAATTCAATACACAAAATAAATAATTTAATAACAATTGTTATGTAACACCCCGTATCCTAGACAGACCAGAATGCAGATTTCAGAAGTTGCAGGTGCCAACGCCGGACACCACCCACGGACCGTAGGTGGGGTCTGTGGATGGCCACCTGCAGCCTTTCCCAGAAAAGTCCAGAAAATTTTGTCTAAGGGTCGACCCACGGACCGTAGGTCAGACCACGGGACGTGGTCCTGGTTTGTGGATCGAGACCCCAAACCTAGTCTATGAAGCCAAACGACGGTTGACCAGGACGGACCGTCGGTTGGCCCCGACAGCTTTTAAGTCAGGGGTCGTTTGGTCTTTTCCCGAATAGAGGAAGATTAATGTGCAGCTGATTCTATACCAGCCGATTCAATTGTTCAGCTACTTCGAAAAACTTACTATTATGGCTATGTAAGGGGACCGGCTTCCCCTTTTTCAATCACCTCCTACCTTAAGGTAGGCCCACTGCTGAATACCCTCAATCGAAAGGTCAAGGAGATTATATAACCCCATAGTATGAAGAGCTGCTCGGGGGATCGCACCCCTTGGCCTAGGGTATACATTCAGATCTGGAGGCATACCTAATTAACGATAAGAGCAGATGCGTTGGACCCCTAAACTACGTAGTTTTGGTCAGTTTTAGCCTAGCAACTAAATTAGAACCTACCCTAGTCAATTCATTCTCCAAAATTCATCCAATTAGAACGAAAAGAGGAGAAAGCAGTCGAACAACACTAGTCCAAGAACGCAACAAGGTTTCGTTTGTTCCAGCCCCGAAATCAAAAGATTTCTCCGTGAAATTCGTCACCAGGTATGTGGGATTTCACTAATGGGTTCCTTTCACCTATTAGGTCCCTAGAATTCAGTCAGATTCTTGGTTCTCAACACTATGTTTGGACCTATGGTTTCTAGAATTTCATATTTATGTTGTGATTCAGCTATTAGACTAATCCAAATAAGATCATCATGTTTTCGTGGAATTATTGCTTAGTTCTTGCTCGAAACTCAGAACCCTAGTTGTGTAGATTCGTTTAGTTCATGAATTACACTTGCTAGGTCAGTTTATTCAGATATGCATGCCTCAGTTAATAATGTTTCATTATCAGTATATTAATGTTGCATTTTCAGTTAACATGTCAGAATCTCGAGCTATTCAATTTATTACATATTTGTTGTATTTGATACATTCTATTAGGAGTAGGCTTAATTTCGAGTTGGACTAGGGTCAGTCACCCTCATAGTCCCAGAACTACGTACCCCCGTAGGTAAGTCCCCTTTGTGGGCATTATACTTAGTGATCACGCCAGTCATGCCTCTATACCCCTGCTAAGGTATATTGGGTCCTCTCGATGGGGCGTATACATCGGACTCCACATTTATCTCATGCGGTTTTATGTCGGTTATTAGTAGCTCCCACAGTCAAATTCTAGTGTATTAACCAGGTTACCAGTTACATTTTCAGTATTCAGTTTCAGCATGTTATGCACTTGGTCACTACATTCAGTTAGTTCACATTCAGCATGTTTAGTATATTCTTTATGTTCATCTTATATCTTTGATCAGTATGCTCTATTTCAATTATATATATATTGTTCAGCTTTATTCTATCATGCATGATCAGTACCCTTCAAGTACTGACGCATACTCTGCGCTACATCTTCTCGTGATGTAGGTTCAGGTCCTCAGCACTCAG